TGCAAATACTGCGACAAACTTTATGTGTCGCTTGGAGCGCTTAAAATGCACATTCGGACACATACACTGCCTTGTAAGTGTCAAATCTGCGGGAAGGCATTCAGCCGGCCGTGGTTACTTCAAGGACATATACGAACACATACAGGTGAAAAGCCCTATAAATGCCCGAATTGCCAGCGCGCTTTCGCAGACAGATCGAATCTTCGTGCGCATCTACAGACACACTCAGACGTGAAAAAGTACAGCTGTGGTCTTTGCTCCAAATCTTTTTCAAGAATGTCACTACTGCTTAAACATGAAGACAACGGCTGCCCTGGCAATAACACTTAACACGAAAACCTGATTAACTGTATTCCAGAACTTTCGATTCGCTAGCAAAGCTCACCAAATCGCGCCATGATGAGGTTAAATGGCTTATCGGTGCTCAAAACAAAAAAATCACAGTTGTGACTAAAATGTTGGAAATGTTTTCCTGAAAGATGTTTTTGTTCAAACGCAAGATGACAATGGAATCGACCCGTAGAGAAGCCGGTCTTAAAAAAAAAATTTTTTAATAGGCTCTGGTGTAGAGAATAGTCCGATTAAAGTAATAAGGTCGCCGGAATTTTACAGAGAATAAGATTGACTTTTCCATAACAATTGACAAACAATCCAGTCTTTGCAAATGCATTTAAGAGCATTTAAACTCTAGGAAATTGCAACAAGGAACTCGTCACTAAAAACTAACTTCTATCAAGAAAGGAAATCGCAGAGATGTTTTCCATTTCAGTAAATTGTACACCCAAAAATCGGTAGAATGTAGGTGCAGAGAGATCGTTTATAAATAAAGACTTCATTTCAAGCGAGTCTGTACGTAATCTTCTGTCGCCATTGCACACAAAGAAACCGCATTAATCAGTGAAGATATTTGACTATGCTTAACACCTGTTGAATCAAAGTTATCTTTGAATCAAGAAAGCTCGTTCGCAAACAACTGGAATAAAATTTCACGAAAATGCTCTTCCGTCTGTCATTACGAGCTTTTATCGCTTCCACCCAAGAACGCATTATAAGGATATTACAAATCTACAATTTGTTCAAAGCCGAAAATGCGAGTTTCAAAATCTCGTAACTGCCCCCCGGGAGGGACAATATAAATAAAAGTCGAGACTGCATGTTTAGCTAATCTAATCAGAGCATAGAATACCATTAGTGATTTTTTAATTCCGTATAAATTTCTCAACGATAAGAAAACTGCCTGGGCTGAATGGCGTTAACTTAACTAGACAGGATGCGAAGGAAAGTCTGCTAAAATCTGAAAGAAAACTAGCTAAGTTTTTGAGCTACCGAAGCGGATGAGATGCGAAACGAGCTGTTTTGATAGTGGCACACAAAGACAGTTCTGCCTCCTCAAAAGGTCTTTGATAAAGGCCAAATCTTCGTTACCATATAACAGGTAATTTTGACAATATGGCATTTTAAGTCTACCACGCAGCCAATCAGAGGCGTCTGCCAACCTGTCGCTACAGAGAAGTGTTTAATAACTCTCTAGCCACGGGCAAGTTTATTTGTCTTCGCATGAAAACCACCGTCAAAATCAATCAATCTGCTGTAATTGGTTTCCCCGCTAACTCGGCTCCACACGACGGTCGAATTGTGACGTGAATTTCTTTCAATAGCCCCTCAAAGCAACGTAAATGTGGTTCGTGCTAAACTACTCACATCCATGGATAGAAAAGCGGAAGACAAACAAAAATAACATGTGAATTAGATTGAACAAACGATCTAATGCATAATCACAAAACAAAAGAAAAGCGCTTTGATTTACTTCGAAAAATCTGCCAATTACGCCCTAAATGTATTTAACATTTAACATTGTGCAATATCTGCTTATTAAAGAGCATTCTTTACACGGGATGACGGATGGAAATAGCATCACGTATGTTTGACAAAATATCCTGATTCCTGTCGACAGCAGGTGATGCAAGATTGACCCGACCGGCCTGGGAATAAATTAAGAACTGGTTTTAGACACCTGTTGAAATCTGCGCTTTTAAAGCTTGCCAAAACACCTTGCTGATAAATATGTGTCCGGCTAACTGAACACTTAAACTACTATTGTTCGTTATAAAGCCATATTTGTTCATTTAGAATAAAGTTTGCTTTGAAATGCTAACACTGTCGGATTAGATCGTAAACAGGAACTCTAACATTCTAGGAAATCAGGAGTTGGAAAAAAACGCACGGAAGTTGGCACAGCCCGCAAAATACAAACGGAATTCGGATCATCGAGCGATCGTATCGATAGACTTATAACACCATCATTGAGAATGTACTTTGGAAGTACAACTTTTTTCCACAAAAAATGATTTTTTTCATGACGCTGTAAACAAGAAAGGGAACGCTAGCGTTATCTTGTCTTAAATAGCAGTGAAAATTAATTTCATAAGGACAAAATATTGCTTGAGCGAGCACAACGATTGCAGACACTACATATGGTTTTAGTAACAAAGAGATTTAATCAACCGCGAGAAAAAAAAAAAACATTCAGCGAAGCACGAATTGTACTCTTTACAATCTTTCTAATCTCATAAGATAAATATTTCAAACTTTGCCTTCATTAATGGGCTTGCAAGTCACTCAAGAAAGACATTCACTGAGTGAGCAGTATTAAATTCTCGTGGGCGAATTGCACTCTATAATCTTTCTGATCTCACAAGATAAATATTTCAAACTTTGCTTTCATTAATAGGCTTGCAGGTCACTCAAGAAAGATATTCACTGAGTGTTTACCACATCTCCCATGTTGTATAATGCTGCGACCACTTGAAAGGGTTGATAGATTTTGTGGTTGTCAAACTCATTCAAGTGTTTTACTGGTGAAGAATATTTACTAGTTGTAATGCGTTATAAACTTTAGGACAGTTTGTTTCAAATGAGTCCGCCCTGTTTCCCTTGACAATAACCCAGAATTCGCATGGCACAGACAAACAGAGATAAATACAGATGAAAGCTGATGTTTGGCCCTATTAATTTTATCTTGAGGTAAATGATTTTATATAGAGATTCTAATTCAAGCAACCTTGGCGAAAGGCCATTAATTTTTTTGAAAAATAAATAGTGTTTCTTATACATTCAATCAATCATATAATTAGGAATAAAATGCAAAGCAAGATTTCACTCGTTTAGAGAAATTTTTTTGAGTTGAGTCATTCAAACTTTGCAATTTGTTCAGTTCACATTACAAACAAAAAAGCATCAACTTAAACCTGCGAAAAAGATGTGCTATACAAGAAACCGAAAATTTACTAGGTTCCCTTCATATTTAAACAAACAATTCCTGAAAATAAACCTAAAAAAAAAATTAATGCAATTTTCGTGGTCGAGGGCAGAAGAGCGGATGGGCTGAAAATGAACCACGCCCACAGTTGTTTTTGCACCTAACACAAGAGGAGTATTATCAGCTGGTCACGTACGATAGGAGTGACTCAACAAATGTCGAATCATCTCGATATCAAATACTTCAGTTTGTTTTCGAACATAATGCTAGATTTCCGTTTCTTAATCATTAAATTACCTGCTGGCGAGCAGGTTTGAGTATTGATTTCTTAGCACGTAGGCCATCAGCTCGAACAGGTAAACAAGTTTTATTGAGACGTGCTTTCTTCAACATGTGAACAATGTTCTGTTCTTTTCACCCACAAACATCCTATTCGTTTGGTGGCTTGTTGTTTTTCAGTCAAAAGGTATTCTTGTTTTGAACTCGAATGGTTACACTAACAGGAAACTTGTTTGTTTTTTTTTCAAACCCGGCACGTTTGTTCGAAATAGCAAAAAAGCCATTTATCACAATTAAGCGTTCGTACAGTACAAAGAAGTAATCAGCACGTTTTCTATTTTTAAACTAAATTGCTTCAGTAAATCCTGTCAAGAAAACACAACACGAAATTCAAATTACCTTGAAAAAATACATGCATTTGTAGTTTTCATAGTCACACATTGCATGTAATTTCTGCGGCTTTAAGGGTCGATCAAAATTCTCTCATACCCACACAGGGCAAAAAAATTTGTTCCCGCGATATGGCAAGGTGTTCAAGTGGCTTCTTTAGAGAGGGTTAGCAATTTCAAAAGACCACAGAAATACCCTAAAAGCCACAATGTTACTTCACCAGTATGTATCGTAAAACGGAAAAGTGTACTTCGCCATAAAAGGTCAGATGTGAAGATCTTACAGATTCCCGTGGCGTCTGCCATCAGCGCAATCGTGGAGGTATTTTGGTCGGGTTACGGGAAGGTCGGCGTAAGCTTATGAGAAGCTTAGAAATTAATCCGGCATGAAAACCTCAAAACGGCTTCATCACCCTTGTTTTGAGCATAAGAAATGGCATGTTTCTTATTAATTCAACTCTTAAAGTAATTCTGAGCATTTCCCACGGTGTAAAGCGACATTGAGCGGAGAAACTTTGCAAGAATAATTTGCCAATCAAACGAACACACGTCAAAGGATTTTAAGCCGGTATAATTTTGCGCATAATGCTATTATCAGAGCATTGAGCATAATTCCGGCATGATGGCTAAACTTCGTAAAAAATTCCCTTGATGCTGCAGTTCAAATTCTGTAGCCTGAGTACTGTCAACAGCGAGCCTGCTTTTCTCGTTTGCGCTTCGGTAAGCATTTTATTCTAAACAAGTTTCCCTAATATGCTAGTGAAACAAGTGGCAGACACCAGTAGAAATTTGTAAGGTTTTCCCAGCGCTTCTCACCTTCGCACCGATTCTCATTAAACTCCTTTGTGGACTCAAGTACGTCGATTATGAGGCTCACAACACGTAAGACTGCCAGGCGAATATCTCTCGTAAAACCTCAAGTGTGTGCGTCTGTAAATGCGCACGTTTTAACTAATTTACTTATTAACATTTCTATTTTTAACGCTGTTAATTATAAACGTCAGCGTCACGGGACGAAAGCAAATCTAACGGCAACCACAAATTGAATGAGCTACTACATTGAAATTTCTTACCTTGTGTGAAGAAGTACACCCTTGTACCATCACCGCGAACATAAAAATTATCGGACAAACATTTACCTAGGGAAACAAAAAAATCAAAAGAAAACGTACTCTTAACTTGGTAGAGAGAACTTGTCCAGACGTGACAGAAAAAATAAACTCGATCAAAGTCCATGTTAAGGCGCATTTCTATAAAACAATCCTTCTAAATATATCGAGGTCACTCAGACGTACATTTAGGTCAAAAATAATCCTCTAAAATCGAAAGATTATTTGAGACATCACAAGTCAACCATTTAGTGGATCAAATTGTGCACATCTATTTACATCAAGCTGTACATAAATAAATGATTCCACTCCAACCCCCCCACAGGAGAAATTTGGCTTATTCTCAGATCTCTTTCTCTTCCTCCCTCTCTCTCTCCCTCTTTCCCCTTGTGAAGCATCATAAATGCAGTCTAGTGATCGAGGGCCCGAAAGTCTTCGCACAGAAAATAACGGAGCCGTTCATAGTTCCGTCTCGCAGGAGTGGCTGGATTTTAAAGGACAACGAGCCAAAATGCTTGTCGAGGATCGGTGAAATCTTAAGTTAAGAATCAATGAAAGGGTAGAGCAAGTATCGTGTCAAAAATTCTTTACGAAAGAACTCGAACCTCAGACCAGCCGCTATTCCTGGAAGAACAGTTTGTCATCTGAGCTACAGTGACACTGTGAGTTACTTGAGCCACATACAGTTACGTACAAGTCATACACAGGTCAAAGGTAAAGTTGTAAAAGACATGTTAAGAGACTAGAGAGCCTGTTACGAGCAGTCAGTCTGTCGGGACGAGCGAAAAAATATCAAGGGGGAACTAGTGGGAGGAGAGAAAGAACTTTCCTTCCTCGTCTTTCACTCTGAAGACTGCACAAATTTACTCGCTCGCTCACAATGCCCAACAGCCCAGCTATAGTAATTCTGACAATTAGGACAGACAGAGATTTTCGGGCGACTGGCAGAGACTCTTGACAAAAATTTCATCTCTAAAAAGTATCTGCAATATTTGCAGAACTATGTTAAAGTCATGAACCAAACACGGCGTCACTTCCCACCTTTCTTAAACCTGAGCTGAGCCATATCATATCGACCGTAGTCTCGAAAGAGAATCAGTCCACCTGGTTTGAGAAGCTGGAAAGGAAAAATCAAAGATGTTAGTCGAGGATTGCATCTGGTTGAGGTGTCATTTCTTTCTACAAATACCTACAGCTGTACATGTGTTCTTCGTCACTATATTAAAGACTCTAGACTTTTACCAAAATAGTACCAACCTTGGATAATCTGCAAATAACGGCTGGCATTCTGCAAACAGAGAAGGAAAGAGAAGGAAGGAAGTCTAAATGAGTATTAAGTAACACCCACTCGTAATACAACTACCAGGGAGGGAATCAAAAAACTTTTTGTGGGAAATACCCTTAGTCTTTCCACAAGTGGCAATTTTAATTATTAAAAAAATATCAATCCATGTTAACTTGTTTTAATGGCTGGGGAAAAGATTCATTTTAGGGAAAGAATGTACTTCGTGGATACATTGCACTGCTGAGAGCCAATCAGATTGCAAGGATCATCAGTGACTTCAACTTGGTTTTACCGGATAAAAGGCAAGATCTATGAAATGTTATAAAATTTCAACTTACTTGTCTGGGTGTACTGCTGACAATACGAAAATGAGAATTATGATGTCAAGGCTTTCGTTGGGAAATGGAAAAACAAATGAACTGTCCGTGATATCACACACAAAGGCAAGGCATCTGTCCTCACTATAGTCTGGATGTTCCTAAAAAAAGAAGACAATAAGTACATTACAATATGGAAATGAAAATTCTGATGGCAGCAAATATTGTGGATGGAAAATGACAGTTTGTGTGCTGAAAGTTCAGATAAGCACAATCTAGGCAAAATGGTTAACTCTGTACAAAACATATTAAATGTTTAGCACTGCAACTGTTTTTGTCACCATGGTGAGTGGTGAAAAATCCAGGCAACCAGCATATTAAATATATATATATATATCTTTTTGTTTTCTTTTTCAGGATAAAATAAAACATTTATGTATTTATATACATTTTCAAATTTGCAACAATTTTTGAAATGTATACATAGTCTGTCTTTCGATTTTTCCATAATACAGTGCTTGATATGGAGATGTAGAGTGCAATATATATTGAGATAGGGGATAAAAACAGAGACTATACTCTCATCTCTACAAGCCTGTTTTATGATTACTCAATAATCAGAGGATTTTATTGTTTTATTTTATTACAATAAAATCCCCTGATGAGTGAGTAATCATGAAACAACCACAACTGACAACTTGTGATGAATAAAACAGTCTTGTCTACAAATGACAAAGATGGGTTCTGAGAGCCACATGAACTGCTGTGATTCTGGCACTGCACTTTGAGCAGAGTGAGTCACTTTTATTGCTGGTGCTGAGACTTACAAGTGTGGTGTTTAGAGGAAGCTTTGCTGAGTTGGTGCATGAGAATAGAAGGTACCAGAGTAATAATACACAGGAAAATCTGAATCTCTAACTCACCTTCACCAAATTTATAGCATTTGAAGAGAAATCACAGCAGTAAACAAATAATGTTGGGTCACTGGAAGATATAGAAATATGATTATAACATAGCCAGTAAATTTGTCGAGTCAAATTCAATTGCACAAGCGTGCTTTATATCCCTACTGTGCACACTCATGACGTCAGCAAACCTATCCCTCGATAAAAAATTTTCCATCGAGTTGAAAATTTTATAAAACAATTGGTTCATATGTCAGCTGTGCATTCATCGAGCTATGCCTCAAGCAACTCTTACGCATCTTTCATGCTCTCCAAACTTCCCACGTGCTTCATATCTTGATGAATGCACGCTGACGTATGAACCAATTGTTAAATGGGTCAATCCATACTATTTTTGTACTATGATAATCCAGAAACATGGGTTGAAACTCTTTACGGTGGCCAATTAACACTATAAACTCAGTTAATAATACAAAATTACCCTGTTATACTCTCCCACAGTTTCTTTAGAAACTTGCCCCCAATAATCCTGAAACTGTTAGGCTCATAAAGCCTTTTCCTTCGTCAAAAAGGAAAAATTACTCAGAAGGCATTATTGACGTTATTCAACAAACTTACTTGTTGGCCTCTAATATTGGAAAAACTGTGTTCCCCACCCCACAACCAACCTGCAAGAGAGGAAATTAAACATGTGCATGTGAGTGTGACTCATCCCAAAAATGACTGTGACTGCTTAATCACCTCATCTGGATATAAGGTTGTAATGAGATGTGGTTACACAATTTCATACCTCAAGAATCTGTTTCTTTTTTCCACAACCAGGATATTCTTGAACACAATGTCTGCTTGATGTTAACTCATTGTCTGTCATCTCAGTAACTGCTGAATCATTTTTGCTGTCAGTTGATGGTTGTGTTTCATTCCCTGGAGACAAATTGTTTCTTGACATCCTTGAAGCTTCACCCTGATCTGGAGTTTCAGGTCCTGATAATTCAGGAAATTCTGTGAATAACCAGTGGCGATCTTTGAAAAACCTGCATATCAATACAAAACATGATGAGGCAAACGGCAGCACTTTGGAGAAAATTGCTTACAATGTAATTTGGTAGCTGTGGTTTGATATTCCTTTCTTAAATTACTCACAAATTTATATAATTTCTACAAGGTTCTAAGTACTTCACGAAAGAGATAACCAGATTGTCTGATAAGTTTCAAATCCACTTAATCCTTGTACTCCCATAAGTGACCAAGACAGAATTTCTCCTTGCAATATCAACACAATATCAAGTATGCAAGTGAGGAGAACAAAGAAAAATATCAGTCAAGGGATTATTAGTTGATCCAATACCAAATTCTCTGTACTAACATCACAAGAACTGTATGGCAGGTGGTAAGGAGAATTACTAATGAGATCTTGAGAGTGAAAGGGTTAACTCTTAACACTCTTAGAGTGACTAACATCTAATATCTCCTCATAATATCACTGCTTAATCTAACATTACAATCATGAGAATAAAGGAAATGATTGCCAACTAAAGAAACTGATTAAAAAACAAAATCTCCTGGTCAGTACCATTGGAAATTTATTTCGGGAAGTAGAGAGAATTTGTCTACTGATGTTTGGGTGTAAAGCAATAAGTGTCCACAACTACTAATTTGAGGTACAAGCCCCCTAAGGAAGTCTAGATGGGTTAGGGTTGATGAGAACCCTATTGACATTGTTGCACTGTTATCCTTTTCAGGCAGTAACTGGTAACATTTATCACCTGTAGTACCTCTTATTAACATTTAAAATTGCTTGGAATTCTTGAAAATTCAACAAGTAAAAAGGATTTGCCAGTTTGAAAATTTATTTTACCTGTCATGCTTAAAATAAGGGAGCACACTGTGTTTTTTAAAACCAGTTTTACCTGTTTTGGTGTTGCATGTAAAATTCATCCCAGAAGCTACCAGCTTTATCCTCAAACAGTGCTAAATGTAGATTGGACAGAAAAGTTTAACACCTTGAGCCACTGAAACCCTTGTTTAATAGCTATTGTTATTTGGG